ACACACCCACATCCAAAAAGTTTGTGTGTGTTTGTATGGTTACATCAGAGTGTGTTCTGTTTGGTCCAGCGAGCGCCGAGACGATAACTGGACTTTGCTGCTGGCTCCTGGCGCAGGCACAGTTACAGTATTAGCGATAGCCCACTTTTGTGTGGCTTTTTTGGGGTCTGTTGCTCTGACCCTCCACATGGTCTCTGTCAGCTCTAGAGACACATTTACTGCTCAAACTGGCTCCAAATGAGGCTTGTCCCCTTCATGCCTGCTTCGCCTCTGTCTCTCCTGCTCACAATGCTCAGACAGTGATCTTTGACCAAGACCCACAGAGCTCTGCTGCCTCCTGCTGGTTCAATAAAACACCGTCTACAGCCAAACCCCAGACATATGATACAGGGGACACAGAGAGGAAAAGAGTGAAAAACTATGTATTTTGAATCAACGTGGGTAAACCACGTTTCAACATAAAACACTGACCTGTTTAAAACCTCGTCAATTGTAATATCAGAACCTCCCCGCCTCCTCTGTCCAAAAACCTTGCTTCCAAAAGCTATGATGAATCCTCAAACATAAGAGGTTGCGGTCAAAAGAAAATTTCGAAATATTTTCCCAGGTCATTTTTTGATGCAGATTAGATTCAAAGCTGCCGTTTTATTCTTATGTCTGAAAATCATTTCACCTGGCCTTAATGCATATATTTTCTAATATTGTCACCACTTCTAGACACCTTTTTGAGAAAATAATTAAACTGTAGTTGGTATGTGCTGACAATGTTGACCTGTTTATACTTTGTGTGAACCTAGACTAGCTAGACTTAAACTAGAAACTAGAGATGTTTTAACAATTTTGAATGTGGGCTGAGGGCCAGATTATTCGGAAGTTCTGATTTGAATAGGCCTGCTCTGAAGTAAGAATAGAAACCTGACTCAAACACAGCTAAGCCACAAACCAAAAAAGCGCACTGTGCGTTTCCGTATACAAAACAGGAGGAGAATATTCCTGCAAAGTGGCTGGAAACATGACTGTGCCCCACATTTTTCTTGGTGTGAGCGTGAGCACTTTCTCCATAGAAGAGAGTATTTCTAATATTAGAGCAGGAGCATTGGCCTGAGGGGGTTCCTGTCAGACGCTGGTATGTGAGTCCCAGGGCCGGAGACTGCACTTCCCCTGGGTTTAGTCTAATGACACGTTTGCACCTGCGTCCACACAGACAGGCAGCAGTCAAGTGCATAGATCAGCTAACTCATACATGTGTTGTGGTTTAGCCGCTCTGGGCTTTGGTTCCCATAGGTGTTAAAGCTGGGTACCTAACATAACAAAATTAAACATGTAATATAATCTATGGGTTCACTGTCTCATCTTTAGATAAGCATTTTTAGACAGATACATGAAAAAGAGAAGACTACCCTCTCTCAGCCAATCAGCTCTTAGCCCGAAGAGCCGAATAGTACCTCATAGGGCTCTTTCTTACACAAAAGATAACATGTTTTCTTGTAAGATGAAGACAGCATGTTGTGGTCTGAATTGTTCACAACATTCTACTTTCTGCATAACAAGTGTGTCCAAATTGCGGCCTACTTTGTCATTTTATGTCTCCTATTGCCGCTAACTCAAACAAGCCATTGAGACACTTGCACAGTGCCATCCAGAAAACTTTAGCTCCACCAATACCTTGATACACGACCTTTGGAATTCATTCATTAACTGTATTTGTATATTCTGACATTATTTATCTGTCTAATGCAATGTTGTTGGCCCCTGGTTAACTCAAGTGGCCCTCTTACTAAAAGGTTTGGGCACCCCTGCTGTTTAGGGACAAACAGAATGTATCATTTATGGAAAAGAAAAAAGTTGGTACCCCAGGCCTAAATCTAACCTAAAATATTTAAATCTTGAGTATAAATGGCAGGAGCAGGATCTCTGGTCTGTTTACAGTCAACAGCAAGAACATGATTTCACGCTGCAGACTCTTTGAGGTTCTGTTAATAGATGTATGTGTCAAGGAAAACAATGGTCCATGGGCTTTCACAAACAATAATCTTTATTATATGATTAAATCTAAATAATAGAAAATTAACCAATGAAAACTTTAAAATGATGAGCTTTGGGTAATTACTAAAATAAATTTGTTCAAAATCAGTTTCCTCTGCAAACTGAATGATACTCTCTCTAAGCCTCTAAGAAAAAAGAACACTGAGTGACTATATGACCAAAAATAGCGATAATGTAACCAAACCGTTTTCAAAAACTCGTTGCTCTCACATGGGTCAGGTACAGAAGGCTATAAAACTGCACACGACAGACAATATTTAGCATAGTGACAACGTAACAAGCCATGAAGCTTTGGGTGAGTGAAGCTCTGGTTAAAAAATGTGGGCTGTTGCACGTGCTGCAGTTGTCATTGTTTGAAAATGTCTATTTCGCTTCAAGTTAGGGGTCCAAACTGTATAAAAGGAGAGCCACTTTAGTTAACCAGGCTTGTCAAGGGGCAGACAACCTTGATTTTAAAACTGTTTTCACTGGATCCAAGCTGTTCTTAGCTATTAGCAATGAGCAATGAGCAAAACAAATGTAAATGTATCTCAACGGCTCAATGGCTGAATTCTAGAGGTTCTGGGCATTACAATGAGGTAATGACAGATGTTAGCTGAATGACAAATGTTTGCTATCTCACCAGCTGTATAAGCACTAGAAATGGAATATTGTGACACAAAAACATAATAAAATAGTCAAAGATGACACTGATGTTACAAGTGGATGGAATATTGTTTGACCATAGGGTGGATGTGCGTAAGACAGTGATTGATTAGAGTGATGGATTGAGATTTGTTTGAGATCAAAGTGAGATTTCTGCCAGATCTACAAAGTGGTCCATTATGAGGTGTCCTTTCTTCTTTTTCAATCTGGAATGCATTAGAAATATGTTTGTTTTATGCATGAATAAATGTATGATTTGGAAATTAAGGCTCGGCTGTGGTAGGTTAAGATTAAGATTAGAATAGGCCAGTTTAGAATAAATTATATTAGAATAAAGAGATCCTTCATTCGTCCCACAGTGGGGAAATGCCAGTGTTGCAGTGTTGCATCACAAGTTACAGACCAGTATGGAATGAGGAGCACACAGCACAAGATAAATGAAAAATTGCTATACTAATTAAAAGAACAATTATAAAATCTCTATCTTTAACATGATAAAGAAGTATACATTCTCTATCTTTAATATATTAAGAAGCAAGTATAGAGAACTGTGTATTCTAGTGAAATCAAACATAGTTGTATGTTTACATCTGTACATGTTAGCAGCAGTATGTTTACATCTGTACAATAGCAGCATGAGGCTCTGGGACACAGTGAGGCAGTGAAGTGACAGTGACACTCTATATTGCACATTCTGACATTAGAAAAGGATATTGTACCGACGCATGACCTATGAGATCAGGTTGGCGGTTTTTGTTAGTCCTCATTATTTGTTGTACAGTCTCACAGCAGCAGGAAGGAAAGACCCATGCGGAACCTCTCCTTCACACATCGAGGATCAATGAATCTGTCCCTGAAACTGCAGCAGACTACACCGTACAAGATGGCTGATACCACCACAGAGTCATAGAAGGTCTTCAAAAGTGGCCCCTGCACTCCAAAAGACCTGAGCCTCCTCTGCAGGTAGAGTCGGCTCTGGCCCGTCTTGAAAAAGGCATCTGTGTTATGAGTCTGGTCCAGTTTGTTATTCAGATGAACACCCAAGTACGTTTGGACACCAGTCCACAAACCCTTTCGGTCTGTATATAATTTATAATTTGTGCATGTCAAATGTTTTCTTATTTTCTGCTGATGGCCGAAGAATAATATAATATATAATATATGTGTACTGTGGTACTCTGCGGCATCATCCTCGGTGCTGAGTCGGAAAATGGCAGTATTCTCAAAGAACTTCTGTAGGACACAACTATCCGTGTTGGGTCTGAAGTCCGCAAGGTAGAGGGTAAAGAGGAACAGTGCAAGGACAGTCCCCTGGAGGGCCCCCACACTGCAGGTCAGGACCTCCGACACAAGATCCCTGGTTCTCACAAACTGTGGTTTGTCTGTGAGGTGGTCCAGGATCCACTCAGACAGGTCATAGTGCACTTCTGCTGTCTGCTTCTATGCATTTATGACATTTGAGATATGAAAGGATTGATAAGATATGACAAATGACAGCTCAATGACAGGACTGAAAGGCAATTGCTTGATGAGGTCAGGTCCAGGTGTGAAACATAGTGAGCATTGATTTTTCCAGTCTGAATTTCTGCTTAAACTGCATTTCTCAGCAATAAATGAGTGGCAGGAGACTTCTTCTCAAATAGATCTATAACAATTCTGTCTCTAGGAAAAAGGAAAGCAGTGATTCCAATCACCAAGCCAATCCTCTGATTTGACTCTGCTTTTTGTTTTACTGCTGCGATCTTCACTCTAAAAGGCAATAAATTCCTCTATATTCGTGGAGTTTCAGTACTGTCTTTGTAAATGGTCTTATCCTTTTGTGGAGGTTACAAACACCACTTTACATGATTTTAAAATGCAATGCAATCAACCACATCAGTTTAGTCAGCCACATGTATCCCCCCACCTTTCAAAAATATATGTGCCTATTTCCATCTGTGGCTCAAGACGCGCGTCCTATAGTTAGTCAGAAGCTCAGCCCTCTTTCCTCTTTCATCCATGAAACCGCGCTGGCTCCGTTTACACATGCTCTGTATTTAAACTTGCACAGACCATCGCGATTTCCGACTGTTTTTCTAACACTTTCTCTCTCAATCTGGACACTATTGCGCACAGGTTTTTGCCCCCGCTACACGGCATCATCTTTACGCACCGTTCATGTCACTCCATGCGCGTTTTGGTTTGATTTAACTACATTTTTGTCACATTTTGATGACATTTCAGCGCGTACATTTTGAGCGCTATGGTTTTGCCTGGATCGTGGTGACCTCTTTCCTCCGGAGAGGGGAGGCTGTGTCCGGCTTTGAACCATGGTCCCCCGGTTGTGGTTCGCGCTGGTGTCTGTGTGGAGCGCGTGGAGCAGCAGGCAGCGCGTGGACAGGTACGCGGTGGTACAAGGGGATTACAGTGGAGGGGTCCCACAGATTTATTTGGCCTCACGACCTCAGCTCAAAGAACACACATGTGGTTCTTTTATATTGTTGGCAAATTTACGCTAGAGGGAGAAAATGTATATATTCACAGAACACTGAATATCTGCAATAAATTGTAATTTTGAACGTATTCCGTTACATCAGGAATCTCCCAATTGTGACCCATGTTGTTTTTGTAAATGTTTTCTATTGTGTCACATATTTCTGTTAATGGCGCAAATGTGGCTGGTGGAGATGGTTATTAGTCATTCTGCCAACTTCAGCTCTGTCTAAACTAATTATAAAGCTCAGAACGAATCCAGTCAAAACAGTTTCACAATTGGACCCTTAACAAGCCTGGTTAACTTAAGTGGCCCCGGAGACCCCTGCGTTACATAGTCCAATCATGTATTGTGTATTTCAGAATAAGACACTATTTGTATAAAATGTCAATGCAGCATAACATTGGAAACATGTGTCGTTAATTAGGAAAGGACTAAACAGACCTGCATGTTGTAATATTATGTGTAATTTTCTGCAGAGACAAAAGAGTCTACACTCCTTTATCAAATTACAGAAGGTATTACTTGTATTACACTCTAAAAACAGATTAATTAAAACTGGTGAAATGTAATGGTTGGTAGTTATGTGTCCAACTCCGACGATCTTTGGGTTAAAACAACTTTTTTGGTTTAAAAGTCAGTTTTAGGATTAAATGAATGAAGTCAATTAAATGTAAGTATATTGTTAACCGTCTTCCGAGCTATACAAATTTACCTTGATTTGAATTGACTCTATCATGAAATCCAACTTGTAAAATGTTGCTTAATTTCGTCAATTAAACCATCTCTTTATTTTATTCATTACCAGTAATGCCCTGGTCTCAGTGAGAGGGAGCTATTGCATGTTTTTAGTGGTTAAGGAAACTGGAGCACCTGGAGGAAAACCTATAAGACAAAGGGATAACATGCACACTCCATTCAGAAAGACCCTGTTCTAAGGATTCCAACCCAAGACCTTCTTGCTGAGAAGTAAGAGCCAACAATATATGCATTTTATAACTTTATTATACTTTGTTCCATTTTAAGTGTTCATATGGATCTAAAACAATATAATAAAATGCTTGATGTTTGTATATATTACATGTTTAAGTCTTTGAAACAATTAGAACATGATTATAAGTTGCACTTCTTTGTCCCTGAGTCTTGTGGCTGATGAAGAGATGACATTCAGAGGGGAAAGTATGAAGAGTCATGTCGAGACCTGATCACAGCAGGAACGTGGGCAGGATGGGGAGCTGGTCCAGACTGGCCCTGAACCAATAAACTACCACAACAATTTTATATATAACATTAGAGCTGTAAGCAGGAGATACTATTCAAACTTCCCCCTACATAGATAGATGGATAGATAGATAGATAGATAGTTAGATAGATCCATCATCATCCATCCATGCAAACAATCAAATACATTATTCTTGATTTTACTAACAATATTAAAAAAGTGCAACAGCACTTTTGGTCACAACAGCAGAGGCAGTTTAGCCGTTGGGTGGAGCAGGACAGGTCGCAGCAGCAGCAGAGGTGGATGAGCTGCTTTACATCCTCTTGTTGATGTATGCAGAGTCTGTTTGGTTTGGACCATTTTCTCTGCTCTGGTTCAGAGTGAAATCTTGAATGCTTTATTAGCATTTTTAACAACAACAAAAAGCCTTCCTCTAGTGGATTTACACTTGATCTGCTTGGTTCGCACCGTGCATTCTCTCTGCTCTGGTCTGGGTCAGTGTAAAACCATGAATATTGTACTGAAGTAAAATTTATAGATAGAAAAATCAAGAAAAATAGCAATTGTAAAGCACAAAACAACATGCCAATTCCAGCTCATTTAAATGTAAACCTAAAAATATGTGCAGGACTCTGTTCAATTCAATGTATTTTTGTAAAGCCCTAAATCACAACAGTTGTTATCTCGAAGAACTTTACAAAGTCGTTGATTCGCCAACACAGAAAGGAAATTTTTTGTATTGAACTTGATTAAAAGGACAGAAAACAGCACACTCCCAATGGTTTAAAGTAAATATTATATTATTATGTCCATTTAAAGCTGGGGTATCTAAAATATACCCCAAAATATTGATGTCCCTAGTTCCTTGCTTTCAAAACTGTTTGGTTCTATCACTAGTTTTCACGTGCATGTATTTTTGGCCTCTACATCTGATATGTACAAAAGGTAGTTTTATCAGGGAAACAACCACTTAATTCACATAATTTCCCAAAACGCAATTAGTAATAATCCATAATAAAAAATATTAAAAGAAGTTGAAATAAATCTGTAAATAAGTCATCTTTATCTTTGGTCCAGTTGTGTTTAAATCCAAATATAACTGAAGGACCTTTAAACTAAAGTGTGTTTTTGTGTTGCAGCAGGAACAACCTGAGGGGAGCACTGTCCGACGGCCTGTGTCACTATGGCAACAGTGTGGAGTGCTGCTGGGGGTGGAGCCTGGAGCACGGCCGCTGTCAACGTATGAACAAATGATTTGTCACGTCTTTGAGTGCTTTGAGCCTTTAACTGTTGTAATGTTTCTGGGTTTACAAACATAAGAACGCTCAAAAAACACTCTTTTGATGGGATTCTCAAATGTGTGCCCCGCAGAGTAGGTGCTCAAGCATAGACTGTATACAGATGGGCAATGCTAACTCGTTTGCTCAATGAAATGCAATGGGGAAGTGCTCATGAACAAAGTTGTGCTCTATCTCACTCTGGCTCCTATTGACTCACATTGAAAAAAAATGCTTTACCAATTTAGGCTAAAAAAATAAGTGGATTAGCTCTCTCTGTGATCCTGGTGTTTTTACATTGATAATGACTTAGTAAATTGACATATGTGCCATAAGGATTTACCAACTATGCATTCAACCCGGAAGGAAACTCCAGCTTAGCAAACATGTTAGCAACACGTAATTTTGCATCTGCCCGGGAGTCACCTCACCGTCACAAATACCCATATAAGGAAGCGGGCTTCATGGTCTATTCTCACAAGGATCCAGACCCAAAAACACTTTCAAAGGAGGCTCGTAAATTTCCCCATTACTCAAACTTTAACTGTAATTGTAAATAAAACTGCTATCATACATACAATATAAGCACATGCTTGGCAAATGTAATCACACATTATGTTTACTTTGGGCATACAGTATGATTTTCATGCATGACCTTTTAACATTGTTCCCTCATCAAAAGCAGACCTTTTTTTGATTCATCCATGCTAATATCAGGAACTTCTGGCACAAACCTCCTGCCTTCTGTCTAGAAGCTCCTGTCTCCTAAAATAGTATGATGTCATTGCACCACTATGACATCATGCCCAGAGCTGGTTGCTGCCTTTCAAAACAAAATTATTGACCATAAATGTGTTTTTGTAATTTCACAATCACATGCCTGTGTTTACAAACGGGCGTTTTTAAAATTTGGAAAAACAAAAACCAAATAGCTAAATCTACTCATGTTTTCGGCCTGATTTTTTTTGTTTGCTCATAGAACTTGACTCTATTTGTTCCTCTCCAGCTCACTGCCCTCACGAGTGTAAACATGGAGTGTGCGTTTCTCCGGGTCGGTGCCGGTGCGAGCCGGGGTTCACTGGGAAAACATGCAACCGAGGTACGTATTTTTTTTCCATGATATAATATCATGTTTCTTTTCAAATTGTGAAGATGAAGATATAATTCTAATGCAAGCGCCAGGAAGACCCTCCCCCACATTCCCCTGATATCCTTGATAGACAGCTGGAGCCCCTCCTCTGTTCTCCTCCAGCTAATCTTACTGGTGATGGTTATTCCACTGTTATAAATATATTTATTCTGACCAAATACTTTAAACTACTTTATACTATAAATTATACTATACTAATTTTAATTGCTGACATAACCTAGTAGAAAATATATGGTAAAACGGTCTCACAGAAATGTGATGGATGTATCCAAACACAACTCCCAAGTTTGTTTTGGATTTGGAACAATGCCGTAACATGGATACAAAGTTGATTTGCATAATATGTTAGATTTACATAAGTTAGGGTTAATGTTAGGGTTCACTGTAATCAGTTGCCATCAAAAGTCAATTTTGAGAATATTTTGGTGACAGAGAATCAGGATGTCCTCTCCAAAAATATATAGTTTTACACAAAAATAACCTTTTCCTTTAGAGCAGTAAAAATAAATGGACCAAGAGACAAGTCATCTTTGAAATCTACAGAATTCAGTTGCGATGTGAGTTTGAAAATCTGCATACCGTATGTGTCAGTATATCATTTGGTACAAGCAGCACTGAATCCCTAAAATCAGTATCACCTCCAAATAACCCATATCGATCTGTTATAGACATTTTTAAAAAAAATTCCTGAGGCAAACTGAAGTCTCCATCCAGTTCTAACCAGGCCCTGTCATGCCCAATACGGCCCAGCCCACAAAGTACACATCATGGGGTCTCACATTCACAATTTTGATGTGGAAAATCTCTAATATTATATCTCACATCTCCGCTGTCGGTTTGAGTCCAACCTCATCTTTCCGTCTTCTCAGTAGGAGAGGCACATTCCTGTGGTGTGGATCACCAGAGGAAAAAGCTTGTTTTTAAACTCACTTAATCCTGAGATTACAGAGAAACACAAGCAGCAGCGTGTGCCACAAAACTCGCTGGTCTGCTAATGCTGCAGACCTGAGGGCTAAGGCTTCCAGCTTGTTTACACAGATTTACTGACACTAAAATGCTAATTACTACTTACATTGGGGCGGGGAAGAGTTCTGTCTTTTCAATGGCTTCCTGTTCATGTTAGAATCAATATTACAGTTTTATTGTTTCTTTTTTAGGCAGTATGTTAAAGTGGTAGTCTGGAGTTTGTCAGAAAAAAAGAGAGAGAGGTACATGATATGAAAAAAACGACCCAAGCTCCCCCCCATCCCTTTCTGATTGGTCTTGAAGCTGCGCCTACTTTTCCATGCACGCGCCAGGTCAATGGGCCAAGACGTGTGGAGGAGAGATTATTCATTTAAATATTTGAATATTTAATCATAATTTACTATACAGCTCCTCACAGCAGCAGTAGAATGCTCCATTGATTTGAATGTAATTTCAAAATGTTCTGCCGAGTATTTCTTGATAACGGACCTCTCAAACCAATAGTGACCGCTGCCCTTTGGCAACGCACTCTGTGCTTGTACTTCAGGTGTGTTAGATACTAAGATTAGTCTGGACAGTGGTTCGCACACTTCGTCAAAACGGGCTTTCAGCGCCTGTCACGTACAGTATTACTTCTATCTGAGCGAGAGAAGCTGTTGAAGCTAGCCATGCTCAATAACACAAATATCAATCAATCAACACATTTAAATGTTAATCGGAGTATACATTAAACATATACATTCTTAACACACATGCACGGAGATTTTCAGAATTATCGTTTTCATGACAAAAATACTGTTTTAATGTGTCAAAAAGCACACTAAACCCAGAAGTAACTACAAACATTTGTAGAACATTTGCAGAGGATCTGATTATGGATTTAGGTTAAGTTTATATTTGGGTCACTCACCGCTGATGTTCAGAATTCTTTGTTCACTTTTCTTGTAGTTCCAGAGAGTTATAGTTAATTAGCTAGCCTAGCTGTTACCCGTCTGGCCACGTCATGGCGAAACATTTGGGAACTAACTATTTTATACATATATCAATTAAAAAAGATAATGCCCTTTACAGCTTTGAATATAAAGGGCTGTCTAATATTCGTTCAAATATATGTATATTTATCATTTACATTTGATACATTTATTTATATCACTTGATTGGTTAAAGTGGACGGCATCGTAGATTTTGAGCTATAGCTAAGATAAAGGAAGGCGGGACTTACCCGTAATATTATAATTCATAAGATTACTTTTTTTATATCAACATTTAAGGCCAGGAGGTCAGTCGAATACAATTCTTAGAATGTGTAATTCATTTAGAGTTCCAGACTATCACTTTAAAACTAAGGCCTGCAGACCAATTGTGGCCCTCTGTGTTCTTCATGTGGCCCTCTGACTTGCTCACCCACAATCTTGGAGATCATAAACACAACTTCAGCCAACTTCCGCTCTCGGCTTTGTTATATTATGTTATTAGCATTTATGTTGCCGTGTGAGGAGATGGTCTTTTGTCTCTCAGTTAACTTCAGCTCTTTCATAGCTAATAAATAGGTCAAAACTACCCGAATCCAGTCAAAAAAGTTTTACAGTCTGGGTTGTCGGCCCCTTGTTCTGTCGAGTTGCGCCACTTGACGCTTTTTACACAACTCACAGACTTTATGTACGGCATCTCGAATTGCTTCGGCTGCCGTAAAACACGCATGTGCAGGTTTGCATTACATCATAAACAGCTGAGGCAGTTCAACTCAACAAGCAGCGCAACTCGAAAGAACACCCCTTAACAAGCCTGGTTAACAAAAGCCCTCTTACAAAAAAAGTTTTGTTTACTTTTAATCGCCTGGCCCCACACAATTTACATGACAGCATAACATACGAGGATTGAGGATGTGTCATGTGTCAAGAGATTGAAAACATTTAGACAGAAGGGGTGGAATGTTTGCGGGAGCAGTGTCTGATAATTGTGTGATTAGCTGTCCATTTTGACAGTCTCGCAGTGATTTTTTTTGTACCCCTATTTCTGGTTTTAAATCTTCCCCCTGCTCTCTTTAGTTAAACTCTGGCCTCTCCTGTGCTGCTGTGGTCTGTTTTCATTCAGTCAGTTTAACCTATGATCCCTGCGATGACAGCTGTGGTGTGGAGTGTGTCTGAAGACTCATGTGAATCCTCTTTTAGGGAAAGCACTTTAGGGAAAAACATGTTGGAGGGCAGGTGACAATACAGCTCCATGGGAAAGGAAGCATATTTGAAAGACATTTTGAAAATAAATAAGTTCAAATGTTTTCCAAGATCATTTTTTTATACTGATGATAAATTCTCAAAGCCAGCATAATATTCTTATGTCTGAAAGTTCTGTCTACGGGCCAACATCATGCATATGTTTTTGAATAATGCCATAATTATTAGATACCTTTTTGAGACAATGATAAGACCATAGTTGATATGTGCTGAAAAAGAATATGGGGAACTTAACTCTAAACTAAGACTAGAATCTGACTTTTGACGCTTACCATAGTTACTAGGAAGGTTTTTTCAGCTGCCCTCCACCACAATGTGTAACTATAGGCTCTTAGGAATGTTGTGACATCACATGAACGTAACCCATGACTGACTGAAGTTAGTTAAACAGCAATAGAAAGCAGAGATGAGGCAGAAGGGAAAGACCTAAGTCAGGACACAACTAGTTTAACTCAGCCATTTAAGCCTGAAACACCATGGCCGTATCTTTGTTGAAGCAGCAGCCATCTTCTCGAGGACCCACCACCTGTTGGAGGATCAGCGACAAGCCTGTGCTATGTAATTTGGGTGGCAGCTCTGATTGCCACCCACCAACTCAGAAATGGAATAATAAAGGGGCTGAAACAGACATGACATGACATGACATTTAACAGCTATTGACAGATTCATAATCTTTGTCAATGTCCCCTCTATGTTATATCTCCTTCAATGTCCCCTCTATGCAGGCCCGTCCTAAGGGCTGTGCGACCTGTGCCATCGCACAGGGCCTCGCACCACACAGGGGCCTCGCAATCTTCCTTCCTTTTATTTTATTTTATAAATACACTAGTTCAAGGGTCCCCAAAGGGCAGACTGCACTCCAAATTTGGAACCCTAAACCCCTTTCTCTGGACCTCTTTGATTTCGTTTGATCAAAAGAACATTTTTACAAGTAAAGTCAAATTTTCACCAAAAGCGATTTGTAAACAGGCAGGCGCGCGGGCAGCTATGTATGCAACGGGTCCTCCGAAAAAACTGTCAGATAACTTTAGCAGTGTCTGAGTGAGATACAAAGAAAGTAACGGGAATGATCGCAGTGTAGGAGAGATGGATACTCGCGGAGGAGGAGCAGTGAGACAGGTGTGAGCAGAGGAGCAGACCCCTTTGTGTGAGCAGAGGAGGAGGAGGAGGATCAGCGGTGTGACAGGTGTGTGAGCGCTGCTATTGCCAATGTTTAGTCCGAATATCCACATCAAAAACATATTTTTAAAAGCATTAGCAAACACACTGTATGTCTAGCTTTAGCTAGCTGGAGTGTTTTTGTTGTGGTCAGAGTGTGTGGAGGAGGAGGTGAAGAGTATTTTGTTGTTGTCAGCGTGGAGGAGGAGGAGTGTATGTTGTCAGAGTGTGTGGAGGCATGGCAAAAACGTTATTTGATGAGAAAAAAATAATATTGACTCCGCCTCATAGCCATTTTGGCGCATTTTGCCAAAATCTAACTATTAGAAGAAAAAGACTCCTTTTTGGTTCAATCTTTTGAGTTGCTCTACCATTTTGCCACAGGACGAAAGAGACATGTCAGCTAAAAAGACCGCGACCAATATTGCACGTAGAGTGTGTGTGCGTGTGTACGTGCGCGCGCCAAACGCTGCATAGGAGCGAAGACACTCGGTTACACGCGTGCTGATCTCGTCAAGCACCGCGCGAGGTGGTGCTGAATTCATGTCAAAGATTATAACAGGAAAAACTTTCCTCAGATCTGGGAAAAAAGTGTCAGGGCAGGGCCTCGCGTTTCGAGTTCGCACAGGGCCTCGCACCCTCCTTGGGACGGGCCTGCCTCTATGATATATTGTATGCCTCAAGTTTGGCTGTAGACATCTAGAGCAAGATGGCTCCGTGTCATGGCGCCGCAGTGAGAGCTCTAGTGTGCACAATCTGTGTTTTGTTGCTGTTTGTCTTTGAGTCACTTGCCACTGTGAAGTATGACCGAGAGGCGCTTCTTAACATTCGGGACATTGCGTGTGACGGGTCACTCGTACTACCCGAACTGAGGTGCACAAACTGCCGTGCCCGTGGAGCACGGCAGGCGGGCCGCGGCGATGGCCGCCAACAGAGCGAGGGGAACGGGCGTCTCCGGCGTTCTCTCCGCGGTGTGGAGCTGGGCACCTCGAGTCGGCGAAGGAGGCGCAGACACCGGGGAAGGCGAGGCGGTCTGCTCGTTTGAAGCCGCTCCTCCAGGACCGCTCTGCCCTCCATCTACCTGGCCAACGTCCAGTCTCTGCCCAACAAGACGGACGAGCTCCTGTGTCGGGTCCAGAGCCAGCGCGAGGCCCGGGACTACGCTGTGTTCTGCCTCAGCGAGACGTGGCTCCACTCGAACGTCCCGGACTCTGCTGTTCAGCCCCCGGGATTCACCGCTCACCGCACGGACAGAGTGAAGGAGACCACGGGCAAGGCCTGAGGCGGAGGTGTGTGCTTTTTAATTAATCAGCGCTGGTGCACGGACACTCGAATTGTGAACCAAACATCCATCCATCCATCCATTTTCTACCCTTTAATCCATTTCTGGGTCAGGGGGGTGGCAGTCAGAGATGCCACCCAAGTCTCATAGCACCAGCCCCTCACTGACCCTCTGCAGGTGGTGAGTCCACAGGAGGACGGCTGCTCTCTGAGTGTGAGCATAGCCTTGATCTTTTAGCGGGGGATTTGGGCAAAGTGGGGTTAAGTGTCTTGCCCAAGGACACAACGGCAGCAGTCATCAGTGGGAGTCGGTGGAGAAGGTGTGGAGGTGGGAATTGAACCCACGACCTTCAGGCCTGAAGGCCAGTGCTCTACCAACTGAGCTACTGTCGCCCCAAACGCGACATGTTTGAACCAAACATGTACTGCCAATCTGGAATGCCTGGTCTTGAGCTGCCGCCCTTTTTATCTTCCCCGTGAGTTTTCAGTGATATTTTTATGTGCTGTTTACATTCACCCACGTGCGGATTACAAAGTAGCCCTACAGGATCTGAGCGAGATCCTTCACAAACATGAGTCTGCTCATCCTAACGCAGTCATCATTGTTGCTGGGGATTTCAATAAATGTAATTTAAAGACTGTACTTTTACCAACATGTGACTCGAGCTACAAGAGGAGCACATGTTCTGGATCACTGCTACAGTAACGTGAAGGGAGCTTACAGGTCCAGTCTCAGACCTCCTTTTGGAAAGTCTGACCACTCATCTGTTCTCCTTCTTCCTTCGTATACTCAGAGGAGCAGGGAACATAAATCAACCTCTCGCACTGTGCAGTGTTGGTCTGAGGAGGCTAGCATGAAGCTACAAGGTTGTTGTGATGCTACGGACTGGTCTGTGTTTCAGTCAGAGGACGTCAATGAATTTTGTGATGCTGTGTCTGGATACATACGCTTCTGTATTGACTGTTGTGTCCCACAGAAGGTCATTAAAGAACATTTTAGTCAAAACCCTTGGATGAACGCGAAAGTGAAACTGAAACTTCATGAGCGTGCGTTGGCGTTTCAATCAAATGATACAGTTGCTTATAAGCTATCCTGTTACTCATTGAAACGTTCTATTAAATCTGCAAAGCGCAGTTACAGGGACAGGTTAAAGAGTTATTTTGAGGAAGATGACCCTCGGCGCATCTGGAACGGTATTAAAGCCATCACATCGTGGAAACCTAGTGCTGGGAAAATTGCATCTGTCGGCCAAGCTCTGCCAAACGAGCTGAACACGTTCTACTGTCGCTTTGAATCCGCTGATGCCTGTCCTACTGTATTCCCTGAGTGTTTCAATCAAGGTACCTTCACCGTGACTCAGGAGGAAGTCAGGCGTGTCTTGTCCAGGACCATAGTCCGGAAAGCCCCAGGCCCGGACGTAAGTGAGTAAGTAAGTAATTTTTATTTCATTAAGAGCCAGATCCCTGTGAGTGTTGACCCGCTCCAGTTTGCTTACAGACAGAACAGGAGTGTGGAGGATGCCATCTCCTTTGCTCTGAACTCTGTCTACAGTCACTTGGACACTAGTAAATCTGTCGCGAGAATACTTTTCATCGATTATAGCTCTGCTTTTAACTGCTTTGTCCCAGGTAAACTGATGAAACTCATGAAAAAGCTCATGTCTCTCGGTTTAAGTGTTGCCATGTGTAAATGGATTTTTAGCTTTTTAACTGACAGATCTCAGAGAATGAAAATCAATTACTGTTTTTCTGATGTTGTTTCTGTGAGCACTGGTTCTCCTCAGGGATGTATTTTGAGTCCTTTGCTTTTTACTTTGTACACTCACGATTGTGGGTCTTCCTCTGACTCAAACTTGATCATCACGACACCATGACACCACCATCATCGGTCTCATCAGTAACAATGATGAATCCTCGTAAAGAGCAGAGATTCAAAATGTGGTTCAGTGGAGTCAAACTAACAACCTCCAGTTGAACGCATCCAAAACATGTGAACTGGTCTACGACTTCAGTCGCAATAGTTCTCATTTGCCTGCCGTAATCGACAACTCCCAGGTGCAGATCGTAGAGGAGTGCAAGTTTCTGGGTTTAACTCTGTCTAACCTGAAATGGGTTAAAAACACTGACTGAGTCGTTAAGAAAGCTCGTCAGCGTCTCCACTTTCTGCGTAAACTTAGAGAATTTACCACTAACTCTAAGATTCTGCTTAACTTTTATCGCTGCACCATTGAAAGTTTACTTGTTGGTTCTGTGTCTGTGTGGTTTGGAAACATCACAGATAAAGAAAAGAGAGCTTTAAACAAGGTGCTCCGCTCTGCAAAGAGGACTGTGGGCTGTGAGCTTCCTGTTCTGGAGGTTCTTTATAAATCCAGACTTTTAAACAAAGCTCTTAGGATTGTCAATGACTCTTCTGGCCACCCTGGAAAAGCCATGTTCCAGCTTCTTCCCTCTGGCAGAAGATATCGCTCTCTGAGATGCAGGACATCTCGTTACGCTAACAGTTTTTATCCACAAGCTGTTATCAGTGTGAACAGAGCACTTTCATGATTTGCACTCGTTTTGAAACTGTTTTAGTCAATCGATTTTACAGTGACATTTGTTTACTGTTTTATTTGTTTTATTTCTGTCTTTTAATGTTGTTTTATGTCTGTTTTTGTCTGTGCACATTGGAGACTTTTTGCTAATGTATTCCAATGTGGTTTTTTTTACTGCAAATGGCAAATAAAACTGAATCTGACTGAATCTGAATCTGAAGTGTTTTATTGAGCCAGCAGGTGGCAGCAGCCCTCTGTGGACCGGACATGTAAGAGGAATCAATAAAGTTAATAAAAAATAATGTTAAAATCATTGTTGTGCATGGCGTGTCCGTTCCCTTCCCTTTACTCCACTGGGGATTACAGGAGAACAAAACAAGCTTTCACATTTCACATAGTACACAAAATTCTGTGAGTCTTGAAAATGTGCGTGCACTATGTCTATGTGTGGTGTGCTTATATACATTGAGTTTTGTTCCAGTGATGCATCATTTGTGGATAAACTTCTCAATAGAAGAGTTTTGCGAACAGTTCTGGCCTACATCATATATTCAAGCTGAAGTTTCATCTTTTGTTTTTGTCAGATCTGAATGAGTGTGGGCTGAAGCCGCGGCCATGTAAACACCGCTGCATGAACACTGTGGGCAGCTACAAGTGCTACTGCGCCGACGGGTTCAGACTGCAGCCCGATGGAAGCTGCAAAAGTGAGTGAAGACCTGTGAGCGAGAATGACAATATACAACATAAGTCAAATTGTTTCACAGACAAAATCCAAACAACAGTTACAACATAAAGACATCTGTTAAATAGCTTATTTAGTGTAGGGCTGCAAAATTATTGGAATTTATCAAAGTCGCGATATTTCTGATCAATAGTGCGATTACAGTGGGATTTTTAATATTCTGTAAGTGTGTGTGTACACATTGCCTTCAAAACATTCCCAATGCTTAATGTTCACACCGTGCGCTAATAATTAGTTAGAGGCCACCCACATGTGTATAATCTGCTCTAAGTACAAATTCAGTCATTCTGTAGCTGTGCGGGATAAACGTTCATGTCGCGACGTCCATGCAATTCCTCGCATTGACGGACATCACCATAGACTTCGCATGATCCGGTCTGAACACAGCTTAGTGGGGCGTTCAGACCGCCGATTCTGGAACACAGCTTCCACGTCTCTAAATTTCAGACCAGAGGTCCTGGCGGCATGGATCTATAATAATATAATAATAGGGTATTGCTAGCTTGGAGCTGAAGGACCCATAAACTCGGGGGATTCTAGCAGTACTTCAAACTAAACAAGACTAAATTCACGTGGGCTACCCAGAAATTTTCCCCATAGATCTCAATGTAAACTAAAACAGCATGACCTCAGCTGACAGAGCATCTACAGCTTTCATAAAGATCGGATTTTGTGGGGATTTTAGTGTCCCTTGTCAGCCTGAACTTTGTTTCTTCTTAAATCCTTCGTTTTTTTAAAAATCCACACTTTAGTGCCACAAACTCTCCCAGTTTGGCACCCGCTCTAACTCCCGCTCTACCGCTTCTCTGATTAAGAGCACTGATTGGTCAGAGCGCGGCTGTGCTGTGCACATGCATGAGAGCCACACACACGTATATGGTGCAACACATCATGGGAGCTTGTCCACTGCGTAGAAGAAGCTGGAGGCATATGTATACAAGCATTGTGTCCCGAGACGCACATGCAGTTCCACGCTTGAACACACGTCACCATTGACTTCGCATTGAAAGTCGCCGCAACGCATGATCCGGTCTTGCCCCATAGGAGGGCCTCAGAGCTAATATGGTCATTAAATATAGCATCACAGAGGCCAAGGAGCACATCAGAGAGGACAAAGATAAAGTTGTGGAGAAGTTTAAAGCAGCGTTATGCCAAGATTTCCCAAGATTTGAACGACTTACAGAGCACTGTTCAATCCATTGTGTGGCCTAAGTCTTCATTCTATCAGTCAATCAACTTTAGTTTGTAGATTTCCTTTCCTACACAAGGCAACACAAAGCGCCTCACAACCTTCTACAGCCTGAGTCCTGCACCTCATGGCCTCGGTCATAGCTCTGTAGCCTGAGTCCTGGATCAATAAACTGTCAGTTCTTGTTAGCGGATCCCTCTCTCATTGCCCCTCGTTTATGAAACTTGTGTACGGCCAAATCAGGGTGTAAATGAGTCATACGGAAAACATTTACACCTGTCGGCATTTATCAATCTGGAAGTGAGCGTACACATACAGTAATATAGGCTGAGTCTGCAGGTTGTGTAAATGCATCTCAACCGTATCTCGACTCGCAAATAACACGCAATAATAAGCATATATTCCCACTCTGGCAAAATTATAGGCACACCTCTCACATTACAAATATATAAATACATATTTCATGAAGTTATGTTTGGGCTATGCCGATAGTTTGTGTTATTGAATAACGTGCAAGATATCAAACTCAAGACTCCCACAAATGTGTGGATTACAATCAGTGTGTAGAACCTATAATCAGCGCGCAATAGCAATTGGTTCATGCGGGTCCAAGCTAAGATGCACGCCACCGTGGAGCGCTGAGCGGGGCTGATCAGAGGAAGATGGCTCTGGGACAGGGGGTTCACTCTTGTACCTCCTGGTGCAAGTGTGCCATATGATCCAGGCTTGGTTCTCCATAACATGACCACAGTGTGCCATTGGATAAACTGGTGGAGTAGCCCATGGATGAGAGACCATGGTCAGCAGCGCCTTCGGCCTGTACAGCTCAGACAGGCTCGCATTCAACCATTTTAAAATGATAATCACATAAATAATTGAAGATAATTTCATTTCTTAATATTTGGTCTGGCTGTCCACCTGTAGGCATAAATTAATACATTCTAACTATTGGCCAATATATCTGTCAACCGTTTGACATAATATAGCGTATATTTCTTTTTAAACAAACATGAATGAACGCTGTTTACAGATGTTGTCATCGCTTTTCATATATATTTTTTTAATGTCGTAAAAATGTGGCGTGAGACAGGCGGTTGCTGCATATTTATAGGCGTGACTTTCATAAAGACGTTTGTTTTCAGCGCTGCATTTATCAACAGCTGCGGTGCTTAAGCTCGGATCTGGAAGGATCTCACACATTCATAAATCCCACGTTTGATCTTGCATATTTGGAATATACACCCAAAATGTACACCCTGCACAAGTTTCATAAATGAGGGCCAATCTGAGCCTGCCTGAGGTTTCTCACATTTTCCCACTGAAACCAGAAAGGGCCCTGAGAGAGAGACCAGAGAGGAAAAAGCAGAGATACTTGTTCCATTGATATTGTTCTAATAAACTCATTTAAAAAAACATTTTCTCATACTCAAAAAATGTTTTGCTTGTCTTTAGTATTTTTTTTTCTTAAATAATTGTATCATTTGCATTTTGCTAATTATGACCACAAACACAATTAGTTTCAATCAGGATTAATCGATCAGCCCTACTGTCTCTAGCCTATATAGTAAAATGTATGAGAGAAACGTATCTATAATGCTGTTTTACAGACGCTCGCACGTGTTTCCATACCAACTGTCAGTATGGCTGTGAGGTGACAAAGGGGCGGGTCCAGTGCACCTGTCCCTCGCCAGGGTTACGGCTCGGCCCGGACCAGCGCTCTTGTGTCGGTGAGAAAACGTTCAATGTGCCAGGAAAGTAATGCCTGGATATAACCACTAAACTCCAGGAAACATGAAAGATAGAAATAAAGATGTCTCTCTTATTCATGGTAAAATCAAACATTCTTATAAACAGTTTTATCTGCTAAATTATAAAATGCAGTCCAAAAAGTGAATTGTGTATAATCGTGTACATCAGGAATGGATTGCCCGAGTCTGACGTCAACTATAGTGTTTGCAGAATGCAGAAGAAGCCGATTCAAACATAAGCTTGCTGGAGTTACTGAGATAGAGGATTTTGCTCTTCAATGTAAGTTAAGAGCTGGAGTGAGTTGGAGCAAACTTTGTTCATGAGCTCTTCTTTATTCGGCTTCATTAAGCTTGAGGTTTAGCATTGTCTATATACAGACTATGATAATTAGAGCTCCCTAATTTTTTTTTTTTTGGTATGTGTTCTCATTGTCTACTTGTGATAAAATGTTGGGATCGAAGTTCTTGTCTGTTTGTTCTATCCAACTCCAGCCTTAGATTGTTGTCCCTCGTAAGAAAGTCTTTCAGACCCTTTTTAGCTTAAAGTATACATTTTTTCGCTTTTTACTTTTTTCAGCTTTTTTCTCTTTTCACTTTTTTGAAACTGTACATAAGAAATATGTTCTACCTCTAATGTACATGAGATACATTACATCTACATTTCCTGTCTGTTCTCACATCTTATTGAAGCTAAATTAGTATGTACATTCCTCTTTTGTCTCAAAATTATCTCATTCATTATCTTATCTTAACTAAACATTTAACTGATTGATGAAACAGTTGTTGTGTTATTATGCAATGGTATCATTACATTTTAATGATTGTCATACTTTTTATACTGCTGGCTACACCTGAATTGCCACTCAGAGATCCAATAAAGTAATCTAATCCATCTATGGGTTGTACGGCCCCAAACACACTTGTGATCCATGTTGTTTCATGTAAAGTTATATATGTATCTAGCAGGATAATAAGCAGATAAAGTAACATTCATTGGGCATTATGAAATTGCAGTATTGCACATGATTGAAGTATTTACTAATGGTGCACTGTATTAATCCTCGTAGGGCAATTCATTCTCTGCATTTGACCCATCCTGATGCCACTAGGGTGTCTATCAGAAGCAGTGGTTGCCGTAGTACAGCGCCCATCTCCAGAGGGGTTCCCGGGCTTAGTCAGGAGTGCTGTCAGGACTGCTGTTAGTCAGGACTGCTGGAGCTGGAGGATTTTTACTTATTGTACATGTTTTTAGAGGACCTAAGCAGGGACGGGGGGGAACATGCAAACTCCACTCAGAAAAACCCTGTTCCGACTGGGATTCGAACCAGCCAGGACAGAACTGGACCTCCTGATGACCTTGTCCAAATTCTTTCTGTCCATCTCTATGATACTGCTGCTGTAGCAGACCACACTGTGCTAGATGGCTGATGCCACCACAGAGTCATAGAAGGTCTACAAAAGTGGCCCCTGCAAAAGACCTGAGCCTCCTCAGCATGGTAGAATTGGCCTCCTTTAAGAAGGCGTCTGTATTATAGGTGCAGTCCAGTTTGTGATTCAAATGAACACCCAGGTACTAGTGAAAATCAACTCTGTCCCTTCCCTGGATGTTAGTAAGTAAGTAAGTAATCTTTATTTATATACCACCTTTCACAGACCAGAGTCACAAAGCGGTTTACAGTAGTTTTTTTATTTTTTTTTGGGCACTTGTCCTCTCACTCCACACAGAGATGGGAGCAGGGTCGCTGAACAGGAGGCGCATGCCAGAGCTATTGTACATATTTTTAGTGGTAGGGGAAACCTACGCAGACACAGGGAGAACATGCAAACTCCACTAAGAAAGGCCCTGGTCCGACCAGGATTCGAACCCAGGACCTCTTGCTGAGAGGCGAGAGTGCTATCCACTCAGCCACCGTGCCGCCCGTAGGTCTTTCCTTCCTGCTGCTGTCAGACTGTACAATAAGAACTGCTGAGCCTGTACATATCATTCATCTGTAAATAAGTAAATTCTTAAATCATGTGCAATGTGCAATACTGCTCCTTCAGAATGTCACTGAACAATGTCACTTTACCTCATGTCACTTTACCTCATCTACTTATTATCCTGCACTATTTAACTGTACAGTATATAACTGCACTACTACTACATGTATATATTTGTTGACTGGTATTGAAGCATTTCCAGCATCTACAGCCAGTTATGCTAGTTAAGAAACATAGCTACTGCTAATTTTCTATATATTGTGTGATCCCTGTGTGCTCTTACTACTGTCCTGTAGGTGCGCTACATCAACAAAATCTCCCCACTGTGGGACGAATAAAGGAACTCTAATCTTATCTTAAACACCTGAGCTGAGCTTAAAGTAGAACTAAATGTGTTTGTAATATTTCGGGTGTTCATTTTGACACGTTAAGATGAATTATGTTTAAAAAACGGCTTTGAAGTTGCACTTTTTAACTTCCGCATAGAAACGCTAGGGGGCGCCAAAATGGCAGCAATGACGTAGGAGAATGACCTCTCACAGCAGCAGCAGCAGTCTGGGCTGAAACTGTAGGAGGTTTCACTGTCATCTGAACAAGGTATAAACATATTTTCATCAGTTTTGTACATAATAGTGTGCAACTCTTTTAACCTTTTAGCCTTATATGTGAAATTCAAGCTAATTAGTGTTGGGCCAGTTAGCTAACTCTACTTGATATCATAAAACATGCTAACAAGGCTAATATTCGTTTTACTCACTTTGGTTGCCTTAGATTTATTTACCACAAAAATGCTAATCAAAATAACTTGAATTAAATAATAACTTGAATTAAATAACATGAACAAAAAGCTGCTGAAGTTGAAAACATAGACACAAGAGCTAACATGATAACTACATGTGATGCAATCATTGATAAAAATGCTAATAAAACCGTTAATAGGTGTTCGCATTAATGGATATTACAATGTACATTGTGGTAAATAAATCTAAGGCAACCAAAGTGAGACAGGCATAATGTAAAAACGAATATTGGTCTTGTAAGCATGTTTTATGATATCAAGTAGAGTTAGCTAACTTGCCCAACTAGGGTTGCCAACCGTCCCTTGAAATACGGAATTGTCCCGTATTATAGAAAAACGATGTGCGTCCTGTATTGAACCAATACGGGACGGCTTTTTTCCCGTATAAATAGAGCCACCTTAAATGCATCACTCACTCAACTGCATGTCACACGCGCGACCATAGACTGTATACGCTTGACACACGCACACACAACACACACAAAGTAATGACAGTTTAAGCGTCTACCTTTCGGCCAATCAGTGTCAAAGGGGCGTAGACTTGATTACATTCATTGGTTTAATGTAGACAATCGCCAGCGTGGACCGCTCCCGCAGCATCATCATAGCTGGATGGACCAAAAGTTGGCTCTTGGCCCAAAGCTCCGTTCCACATGTGTGTCGATGCTGAGGGGGGTGGATTTTTTTGGTCCACTCTAGTTTACTTGCTGTGAATTTCTGAAGTCTCTCGTTCAAATGAATGGAGCTGCGCCAGCTGACGCATGCGCAGATGCGTTTTTTCACCATTTTCTTGTGGGCGGGACCACTTGCGGCCATTTTGGATTGCCCCAGTAGAGCAAATTTTTTGGCCCATTAGTTAGAACGGCGGAGATAGGCGAGACTCTGTCCGTTAATATATACAGTCTATGGTAAAGAAGCGTCATATTCCCAGATTCGGACTTCCGCGGTCAATAGTTCATGAAAGCTACTTTGTTAAACAAAAGTAATTGTGCTAAAATGATCATCTCTACGTTGGTTTTTCAAATCCAATGCGCTGTTTTAATGCAGAGAAATCCATTGAATCCAATGCTCTGTAAGCGCCGAGAAAAGTGCTTAGGGACCGTCAACAAATGTACAGACCAGCTTTGTAAACGAACAATAACTTTTACTGAAGCCATGTACACGCACTAAACTCTCAGGCAATATAAATAATGATCATGTCTAACTGCTACAGACTTTGATATCAACATTTGTGAGTTTTTTTATTTAATACATATGTTTTTCTTTTTTTATTTGCTTTTACAGTAAATGGTATTTACTGTAACATACATAAATAATGTATGTTACAGCATTTGTCTTTTTTATATTTTTTATTACTAATAAGAATGCATGAAGTCCTCAACCAGCCAAAGAGTTCCACCTATTTATTAAATTTAATTTTTGACTAAGGATTTGTTTTTTTATATGTAGTCAATGGTGCTCGACCGGAAAAAGGTGCCTTGCCCTCTGCAGGTGGGTGGAGAGGTCCTTCCTCAGGTGGAGTTCAAGTATCTCGGGGTCTTGTTCACAAGTGAGGGAATGATGGAGCGTGAGATTGACAGCATGCGCAGTGATGCGGCCGCTGTATCGGACCGTTGTGGTGAAGAGGGAGCTGAGCTGAAAGGAAATGATCTCGATTTACCGGTCAATCTTCGTTCCCTCCCTCACCTATGGTCATGAGCTTTGGGTAATGACCGAAAGAACGAGATCGCGGATACAAGCGGTCGAAATGAGCTTCCTCCGCAGAGTGGCTGGGCGCTCCCTTAGAGATAGGGTGAGGAGCTCGGTCACACGGGAGGAGCTCGGAGTAGAGCCGCTGCTTCTCCACGTCGAGAGGAACCAGTTGAGGTGGCTCGGGAATCTGTTCCGGATGCTTCCTGGACGCCTCCCTGGGGAGGTGTTCCGGGAGTAGGCCCCGGGTAAGACCCAGGACACGCTGGAGGGACTATGTCTCTCAGCTGGCGCCTTGGGGTCCCCCCAAACGAGCTGGAGGAAGTGTGTGTGGATAGGGAAGTCTGGGCGTCTCTGCTTAGACTGCTGCCCCCGCGACCCGGCAATGGATGAAGTGGAAAAAAATGAATGGATGGAATGAGTTAACAAGAGTTCGGGAATAAAGAGGAACTAACTCTAATATTTACAGTCTATGGTTCTGTCCACAAGTCCATGTTTCTGTCTGCGCGTC